TGTTCTAATCCACTCTGTTCTAGGTAATATATTAATAACACAATATTCCTCTTTTAGAGTTAGTCCACATACTACTTCTATGCAATATGTTAGTATCACCATAATCATCTTTTAGATTTGCTCCACATAGTAGGTCTATGTTGTTGAAATTCACCGAATGACTCCGGACACATGATTTATTTGTTCCAGAAAATACCCTACAGGCCGACGGTGCTTCAAGTAAGAGCCGTACTCCAGGTAACAATGTTTCAATTGTTTCCATTGTTTGGGTTGTTTCAATTATTACCACCTTTTCCATTGTTTCCCGTTTTTCGGTTGTTTCCTTAGTTTCCATGGTTACATTGTTTCCTTTGTTTCTAATGTTTATGTTGTTTCTATTGTTCCATTATTTGCATTTTTTCCGTTGTTGTCATTGTTTTCAGTTTTTTCAGATTTCACACTTCGTTCCACCACTTGGTGGCTTGGACACTACATTCCACCACTGTGTGGCTTGCACACTTCATTCCACTACTGTGTGACTTGGACACTTCATTCCACCACTGTGTGGCTTTGACACAACAAGGCTCCCTTACTTTCCAGTTGCTGGGGGGGGGGGGGGGGGAAGTGATCTCATAATCTTCACCACATGAAGCTCAACATAAATACTTCCAGGAGCTGGTTGGTAAGGGATCACAATTTTTTTTAACGATATGACCGAAGTTATTGCAGGCATTAAAGAAATAAGTAACCCTTCGTTTGATATTTGCTTCCGTTCAAGCGTTTAGAGAACACATGTCGGCTTTCCCCAGAAATATGCCATCAACGAATACCAAATATTTCTTAGACAGACATATTGTTTCGTAAATTGGAGAAGTCAAGATAACTTAATATAGATCAGTTACTGAGTAAAGATAACGGGTTTGAGGAATTTAACTGAAATTTGTTTCGTAATGGTTACACTAGCAAGTTGTCTGAGTTTTCCTATTGATCGCTCAATGACATTGTAGCATTAAGTTTGTAAATAACAGGAGGTGAGAGAATCTTAGAAAATAGGGGGTTGAGTGGGTTAAATTTCGATATGCGAAGAAGAAGACAGTGAGATGTTGATATAGAAAGGGAGATGTATATGGTTAGACGGTTGAAAGTGCACTGAAGTGAGAAATAGAGAGAAATAGCGAGAAGGAGGAATAGAATGTAGGAGATAAAGATATATATCTAATGAGAGAAAGAGAGAGAGAGAGAGAGAGAGATGAAGATAAATAGAGAGACAGTGAGAGAGGGGGAAACGAAAATGAAAGAGAAATAGAGTAAAATTGAGAGAAAAAATAGATAGAAATAAAAGAATTGAAATCGGTAGTAAGAAATACAAACACTTTATGACGTTTATTTTTGTACATTAATTTTTAAAAAACTGTTACTTCTGTCACAAATAATAAGCTAAGGACGTGTGATCTAGATCCAGTGATCACTGCTTTAATTGTAGCCTGGAATGTTGTATTTGTTGAATCCCGCTATGGAGCTAAATGGTTTTCGCCTTCAGACCGATCACTATCACACTCTAACCAGTCATCATCTACATTTACACCGCCCTCCACGTAACACTAGCTTTAACCTAACTTCAAAAATTGAGGTGATCTAATGATATATCCTTGTTTGTATTGTAGTGGTTGCAGACAGTCTTGTCCAAACACATGAAATGTTGAAACGTGAGACGTTTGGCCTTGTCCAACACGGAAGAAGAAAGTTCAAATGTGAACGCTTACCCATACTGTCAAACACACCACTGATACCCCCTACCCTGACCCCGTAACTGCTGACTCCCATTGAGATCCCATATAGATCCGCTGGCTGCGCCAATTTCTAGATAAGATTCCAGGAAAACCGTCAATACTTAAAGGCGCCCCCACCCCCAACACACACTTCAGTGGTCAGCAGTGTGGTTTATGCCGTCATGCTACTCGGGGTATTGGTATTTAATTCGAGTGTTCACTATGAACATTAAGAATACACAAAGTGTACAGTTAAAACAGTTGTATGAACAATAGTAATTAAAAGCGATCAAAATCCCGCCAATCGATTAAAAATGTTCACATATTTTTTTTAGCAACTCTAATTATTAATTCCAATGATTTTTAAAAATAACCATTGAAATGGAGTTCACCATTGAATGCGCCAGTAAAGCGATTGTTACACTCGAAGCTGACTAGACAGCAAACTTCTTCGTATTAACAAAATGTCAAGCACTTGTGATTTTATCGCTTTGAAAAAAAGAATATTAATATAATGTTAAATAACCACTAAGAAAAAGGTTTTCCATATAAACTCCATGTAAAATGTTATATCCAGCAATGGGAGGTGGGGCTGAAAATTTGACAAAACATGCATACAAATTATCACACTTACTTTTAGAGACCGACCGAATTTCGGCTTCGGCTTCGGTTTCGGCGACGAAAGTGGCCATTTTATAACTTTCGGCCAAGTTTCGGTTTCAGCCGAAACTGAAAGTTAACTTTCGGCTTAATTTCGGTTTTGGCCAAAAGAGAAAACTAAACTTTCGGTTTTTTTCGGTTTCGGCCGAAATTGACTTAGACTTTCAGCCTTTCGGCCGAAAGTGACTGAGGTTTTCGGTCATCTAATTCTCAGCAAAAGCGATATTTAACAACAAACTAAGCGACATTTAAGAACAAACTAAACAATCTTTAAGAACAAATTAAGCGATCTTTAAGAACAAACTAAACGATCTTTGAAAACAAATAAAGTGATCTTTAAAAACAAATAAAGCGATCTTTAATAAAAAAAAAAAACTAAACGATCTTAGAGAACAAACTAAGCGTTTTTTAAGAACGAACTAAGTGATCTTTAAGAAAAAAACAAATGATCTTTAACAGAAAACTAAATGTTCTTTAGGATCAAACTAAAAGATCTTTAGGAACAAACTACACGATCTTAAGGAACAAAATCAATTATTTATAAGAACAAACTAAGCGATCTTTATGAAAAAACTAAAAGATCTTCAACAACAAAATAAGCGATCTTTAAGAACAAACTGAATGATCTTTAAGAACAACTAAGCGATATTTAAGAACAAAATCAATAATCTTTAAGAACAAACTTAGCCACCTTTATAAACAAATTAATCGATCTTTTAGAACAAATAAAGCGATCATTAACAAAAAACTGAAGGATCTTTAAAAACAAACTAAGCGATCTTTAAGAACAAACTAAAAGATCTTTAACAACAAGATGTTATATTAGATGTTTATTTATTAATATTCACGATTATCTCATTTTTATAAAAAAAAATTAAATGTTTATACTTTCTCCCATCATATTCGATGTATGCAGAATGTATGCGGGAACGAATGTCAAAATATCTAAATATTTCATTTTCAGTTTTGGCTCCGGTTTCGGTCGAAAGTCATTTTTAACTTTCGGTATTTTTTCGGTTTCGGCCGGAAGTCATTTTAAACTTTCGCCCTATTTTCGGCTTCAGTCGAAATCAGAAAATGTAATTCGGTCGGTCTCTACACACTTTACAACAATCCCAAATAGAGCTCCCCCCGACTCCCAAGGATGACAACGTCACATTTTTTCCACGCCCCTGAACCATATTAATATTCTAATTACCCAGCCGCTATACAGCGCAGACTTATTTCACCAACTATTTCAGAAAAACTAAAGAATATTATACGCATCAATCGGACTTGCGATGTAAAAAAAAATCTCATTTATCTAATAAATTAGAAATATAACTTTTAAAAAGTTTCTACTTTAAAATAAAATGGGCAATAAGCGATGACTATGATCTAGCAATAACTCAGCTTTTTTTTTTTTTTTTTTTTTTATGATATATTTCGAAGTCGTCAGGGGCAAATTTTTTAAATAAGTATTGTATGGGTTTGGTGGAGGAATATTTTTTGTCCTTCACACGCGAAGATAACCAAAGCTTCGACTTAAGTAATAGCCTTGCCTTGAGCTGTATTTTATTTAAAATTATGGAGAGTTGCTTAATTCGTCAGCCTCTCTCTATCGACTTTGCCTAATAGAGGCAATGGCAAGACTTAGTCAAGACGACTGGAAATAGATTAGGATTTAGTAGATGACCAGCAGTGTTCTATTTTCTGTGGAGGGATACTTCATAAATGTCTGGTGTTCTCATATCAGAATCTTAATTCCTTATGTCTTTTATTGTATGATACATGCACCTACCTTACCACCTTCCTCGTTCAAGAATTCCATTCTAAATTTCCCCCAGAAGCCAAAAGTTTTCAATACTTCTAAAATTGACCTACCTCTCAATTATGAAATGGTTGTATCACTCAATCTGTGATTCCCATCAAAAGAAAGAAAAGCAACTACATACATTTGCTGCGACTATATGCTGCATATGAAAAAAAGTCGCAAAATGCTTCCATCTAACCTCTCTCCCATTTTTTAAACAGTTTTGGAAATTGATTTAGGTCGAAGTGGTAAACACGGCACTTGCTTAGATTTATCATTTGAAATTTCCTTTTAATACAGTATGAAAATATTCCAAAACTGGCTGATCCATATAATGCGTAGGCACTGGGGAAAGGTTTCAGATTGGAGAGGTTTTATACAGGTGCGTAGGAAGGGGGTTGGGGTATTCGGCAGAATAAATGTTCATTTATGCACGCATCCTGCAAATATTATCTTTATTAATGACAATCTCTAACATCCCTTATAAAGCTGTCACGAATTCCATAAAATCCCCAATTTCTAATTAGTCTCAAAAAGGCTATACAATATGAATATATAAAAGTGTTTCGTAACTTAGAAATATTCCTTATATCTGTCAATGGCTAGTGCTGACTGGGGCGAGCAAATATTGCCGTCTCAATGCCACGATAAAAACATTGCAGTTGGTCGAAAATAAATGCCACACTTCCGTATACAATAAAAATAAAATTTGCCGTCCACTCTCTCAACCCATTCCCATGCCCCTGTCACAGAGACTATAATTTGCCCTCTTACTGTCTCCAAATCGCTTCACTGTGGCACGCAACACCAGCTGGGAAACACTGGTTTAAAGAGCCAAGAATAAAAATATTTAGCGAGGTCGAATTGATCAATGCTATCTTATCACACTATTTTGTTATTTATTTACGGAAGTGTCTCCTAGCAACAGCCTATTATAAATAAAGCAACAAGGCCGGTTTGGCTTCAGAAAGACAAGGATTGCCGAGGTATGGAATATTATTGGATTAAATATGTGTATATATATATATATATATATATTCACTCATGTTAATAATTAGTTTGTGGTTAATCAATGATAAGTATTTTTTAACTCAATATTCGAAACAGTATTGTGGGTTAATGATTACAAGATTCAAACAATCTTGATGACTTTTGCGTTGATAATTGTTACAATGTTATCAGTTTTCGTTGCCGTAGTCTCATATAAATTTCATTATTCGAAAAATAAAATAAATATATATTTGTTATTTTCTTCACGCAGTGCATATTTTGAAACAGTAGACTCTGAATTAAAATAAATGCAATGGGAAAAATTCATAATTTCTCTCTGTTGCTTCTTGTAATTGGAGGTGAGTTAGCTTAGATGTAACATAACTATATATAGTCTACCATTTTTATAAAGGAACGATAAAGTACGAAGAAGGAAAAAAAAACAAAAAAACCCCACAAATTTATAAGCGTACATTTCTTAGATACTAAAGGGTTTGAAGTACAATCGCATTGCAACTCTAATTTTCTTTCTAATGTTGTAGAATTTTTTTTCTACTGTTTGCTGATGACCTTATCAGTTGACAATTGTTTTGTACTCCAGCGTTGGTTGGCACATCTATGACTTTCTCTGAATGTGATCCCCATGAGAGATGTAATTCCCCTGACACAGAGACTCGTACATCTTATTGCAGGTAAGTCTTGTCAAATAGTTTACCTTAACTTCGCTATTGTTCGCGTGTTTCCATGTGGCAAACTATTCGAAAAGCTAATTGACCCACTTCCCGTCATCTTATCGATCTTAAACTTGAAACATTGACTGGTTTCCAATGACAACAAATTCTCCTCAAATTTTCAGCAACCCCCCCCCCCCCCGGCCGCAAAATCAGGTTATTATTTTTATCTTTATCTTTCAAAATCGGAGGAATGTTAATGATTTGTAGAATGTTTGCGTTTTTTTGGTGTTGAGACTAATTGTGTTGTTATTGCCATGCGCTTTTTAATTGTGACGTCCTCGTTATGCACTTAAAATAAAATGTATTTTTGAAGGGGAGAAAGGAGAAAATATGAGACAGGTTTTCACCAGACGTTTACCCATTTAGATAACCGCTTCTTATGAAATGATATATCACGTACAAACATATCCACGTTCTTCCATTGACAGTAGAACCCTGTCAATCCCAAGAACTAAAACTAAGACCATCGGTGAACGCTCCTTCTGCTTCAATGGGCCCACTTTCTGGAACCAGCTCCCCTTCCATATCCGTCATTGTGAAACCTCGTCCATTTTCAAAAAGTCCCTTAAAACTCATCTGTTTAGGTCCGCCTATGACCTGTGATGCACCCTCCTTGCCCTGCCTCATTTTCTGTTTCGGGTTGATCCTGAAGTGTCAAAGTGTCAAAGTGTCCTCGTTTTATAGCCATTTTCATTTTCTTTATAGTATAGTAGTTACTATCCTAGTGTCTCATTTTTATTTACTTAGTTTACATGTTTTTAATAATTGTTAAGCGCTTAGAGCTTTATGGTAAGCGCTATATAAAAATGCCTAAATAAATAAATAAATAAATTTATACGAGAAACGTTGTTTCTATTTTTTTTTAAAATTAACAACTTCTTTCTCAAGGCATTGTCAATTTTACACCGAAAATTTAATGTTTATTTTTATATATATTTTTAAAAGTAAAAAAAAAATATTTCCTTGCTCTTCAATTGTTTTTAAATACAATGGTCATGAACAAGGTATGTTTAGGCTTGAGTTAAATGTTTAAAAAAAATTTAACCGACTTTTCTGGTAGATGTCTTCTTCAGCAGACAACAGAATACAACAAACAACAGATAAATGTAAAACAAAAATAAAAACTCGTTTTGCAGATCTTAAAAAAGTCAATGTAGCTCAATTTTCTCAAAAAAAGCTCAATGGTCTCAGCAGAGGCGTAGAGTAGGGGGGCAGATGTCCCCAGGTGTCAGCTAGTTAAGAGCGCCAAAATGTGCTTTGAAATTATTTTATTGATGAAACTAATGGGTTTGAAAGTAGAAAAAAAGTTAAGGGGCGCTTTAAAATTGATCTTGTCTCGGGAGCCAAACGCTACCGCTACGCCTCTGGGTCTCAGTGTAGCTCAATGTTCTCAATGTTCTCAATGTTCCAATGTTCTCAATGTTCTCAATGTTCCAATGTTCTCAATGTTCTCATTGTTCCAATGTTCTCAATGTTCTCAATGTTCTCAATGTTCCAATGTTCTCAATGTTCTCAATGTTCTCAGTGTTCTCAATGTTCTCAATGTTCCAATGTTCCAATGTTCTCAATGTTCTCAATATTCCAATGTTCTCAATGTTCTCAATGTTCTCAATGTTCTCAATCTTCCAATGTTCTCAATTTTCTCAATGTTCTCAATGTTCCAATGTTCTCAATGTTCTCAATGTTCCAATGTTCTCAATGTTCTCAATGTTCTCAATGTTCTCAATGTTCTCAATATTCCAATGTTCTCAATGTTCTCAATGTTCTCAATGTTCCAATGTTCCAATGTTCTCAATGTTCTCAATGTTCCAATGTTCTCAATATTCCAATGTTCTCAATGTTCTCAATGTTCTCAATGTTCCAATGTTCTCAATGTTCTCAATGTTCCAATGTTCTCAATATTCTCATTGTTCACAATGTTCTCAATGTTCCAATGTTCTCAATGTTCTCAATGTTCCAATTTCTCAATGTTCTCAATGTTCTCAATGTTCTCAATATTCCAATGTTCTCAATTTCCAATGTTCTCAATGTTCTCAATCTTCCAATGTTCTCAATTTTCTCAATTTTCTCAATGTTCTCAATGTTCCAATGTTCCAATGTTCTCAATGTTCTCAATGTTCTCAATGTTCCAATTTCTCAATGTTCTCAATGTTCTCAATGTTCTCAATATTCCAATGTTCTCAATGTTCTCAATTTCCAATGTTCTCAATGTTCTCAATCTTCCAATGTTCTCAATTTTCTCAATTTTTTCAATGTTCTCAATGTTCCAATGTTCCAATGTTCTCAATGTTCTCAATATTCCAATGTTCTCAATGTTCTCAATTTCCAATAATCTCAATGTTCTCAATATTCTCAATCTTCCAATGTTCTCAATTTTCTCAATGTTCTCAATGTTCCAATGTTCTCAATGTTCTCAATGTTCCAATGTTCTCAATGTTCTCAATGTTCTCAATATTCCCATGTTCTCAATGTTCTCAATGTTCTCAATGTTCCAATGTTCCAATGTTCTCAATGTTCTCAATGTTCCAATGTTCTCAATATTCCAATGTTCTCAGTGTTCTCAATGTTCTCAATGTTCCAATGTTCTCAATGTTCTCAATCTTCCAATGTTCTCAATTTTCTTAATGTTCTCAATGTTCTCAATGTTCCAATGTTCTCAATGTTCTCAATGTTCCAATGTTCTCAATGTTCTCAATGTTATCAATGTTCTCAATGTTCCAATTTCTCAATGTTCTCAATGTTCTCAATGTTCTCAATATTCCAATGTTCTCAATGTTCTCAATTTCCAATGTTCTCAATGTTCTCAATCTTCCAATGTTCTCAATTTTCTCAATGTTCTCAATGTTTCAATGTTCTCAATGTTCTCAATGTTCCAATGTTCTCAATTTTCTCAATGTTCTCAATATTATAATGTTCTCAATGTTATCAATGTTCCAATGTTCTCAATGTTCTCAATGTTCCAATGTTCTCAATATTCCAATGTTCTCAATGTTCTCAATGTTCTCAATGTTCTAAATGTTCCAATGTTCTCAATGTTCCAATGTTCTCAATATTCTCATTGTTCTCAATGTTCTCAAAGTTCCAATGTTCTCAATGTTCTCAATGTTCCAATTTCTCAATGTTCTCAATGTTCTCAATGTTCTCAATGTTCTCAATGTTCCAATGTTCTCAATGTTGTCAATGTTGTCAATGTTGTCAATGTTCCAATGTTCTCAATGTTCTCAATGTTCTCAATGTTCTCAATGTTCTCAATGTTCTTAATGTTCCAATATTCTCAATGTTACAAAGTTCTCAATGTTCTCAATGTTCTCAATTTAGCTCACTTTTCACAACATAGGCTAATATTAGTTATAATTCCACTCAATCATCTACGTGCTTATCAGGACATCCCAGTTGTACATCGAGTGTTTGTATAAAGAGGCCATGTATAATGACATGTGTACGGACTCCACCAAAACAAGATATCAGGCAATCATAAGCTCAGCAGAGGATGAGCGCTCGCGTCGTCATTGCTCAGGTAAATTTACTAATTTGATTGTTACCGGATATTTAATTTTTCCTAAACAAGGTCATTTCACAATGTGGATTTTTTGCAGCAACACGCAAATCAAACGATTAAATAATGTTAAGGAACTACTGCTGTTTGTTGAAAGTTACACGATCCAGAAACTCAAATGACTGCCACAGAAATCCCACATAGTTGTTTTAACACTGAGCAGGCGCAACCATGGCTTCTGATGCAGAAATTTTGTTAATATTTATGTACTAGCGAAGAGGTCAACAACCTGCGATGGTATGTGGCTCTTTAAATTCATATAGGCGGATTTTTTTTTTTTCTTTTTGAATTTGATTTTTTTAGAAACTTTGAATGAAATAATCATGTAGCCTAATATAGCTGTAACCTATTGTCATGTGGGTAACGGGGCACTGGGTCTATAAATACCTAACGGTAAAAAAGCTTGGATCAAGAGAGGACTTTCTCTACAGCTATGTTATTAACTTGTTCCACAGTTCCTAAAATTAATTTGTTCTGTTTTGACCACACCAACAAAATCAACTTGACATTTTATTTTTATCTTCGTATTTGCAAGAAATGCCCAACAGTAGTGCTGCTAAAATAGTTTAAAATGGACCCAAGTCCGATGAGAACAACGTAAATGAAAAGGTTGACATTGCGCCTGTATATTTACAGACGACAAAATAGGACAATTAAAAAACATCATGAAAATGAAACCTGGTGGCTCCCCCCCCCCCCACTTTTTTCCCAGCTATTTGCAAGTGCTATCAGGTAACTTGTGATTCATCTGGAAACATTTAAGCTGCAAAGAATCACTGTGAGAAAACTGAAGTGTGAACGTAATATAAAATCAGAACAATGTTCAGTTTTAGTCGATGAATCAAGCAGTAAAGCCAGATAAACAAGACTGTTTAAATAAATTCATTTAGCGATATCCAAGAAATTAGAAATGGCTGGGTTAAAAAAAAAAACAGCTTTAAGCACAGACATATTTGTTCTTTGAAGTAAATGTTTATTGTTTGAGAATGCCTTTTTTTTTTTGTTAAAATGTTATCCTTTTCAAACTTTATGAATCTATGTCCCAGTTGTTGTTGGTCTCTCATCTTCTTAAAAAAAAAAACATCTTTAAGCACAGACATATTTGTTCTTTGAAGTAAATGTTTATTGTTTGAGAATGCCTTTTTTTTTTTGTTAAAATGTTATCCTTTTCAAACTGTATGAATCTATGTCCCAGGTGGTGTTGGTCTCTCATCTTCTCTTGTCCTGTGTGTTGCTGGTTTCGTCTATGCGATCTCCAACAAATAAGCAGAATGTCAACATGTGGTTTAGGAAGAAATCCAAGATAACGACAGGAAGGATACCAGAACACTAACTCGACGCAACAAACACGGCTTATGGAAAGTGCCATTTGATAACAAATTTTATAGATCTGTCATTTTTGTTATATGTTATTGTTATTTATTTTTAAAAGAAATGTGGTGTTGAAATTAAAGTTAAATATATAAATTGGAATATAATAAAAAAAAAAAAAAACAATAAACCACATTTTGTTTTGAACTTTAAATAATACGATGTGTACTTAATAATCTTTGTGCGGGGGAGGGGGGGGGCTTATATTCTATTTATAGTGTCATAAATGTTACGCTAAACAAGCGTTTCAAAATTAACATTGTACTTTGTTGTTAAGCCCTATGACTTTGCATTATCAGTTTCGCTCAATCTATATAAATTTTGACTTAATTTCGTGACCCATTTAAAGAAATAATCATTTTAATATTGTCAAAATGCAGTTCTTGTTTTACTGAATTATAAAGAATTTCCAGACCTTGAAAAATACAACGACTCCTGACTTATTAGAAAATCAGTAATGATTAGAAAGAAACAAAATCATTGCATAACCTAAAGCTCTTGTAAACACTTTTCCATCGGACCACCATCTCGTAACCACTTTTTCATTGAACCCCCATCTCGAACCACTTTTCCATCGAACCCCCATCTCGTAACCACTTTTTCATTTAACCTCCATCTCGTTACTACTTTTCCATCGAAACACCATCTCGAAACCCCTTTTCCATCGAACCCTGCTCTCGTAACCACTTTTCCATCGAACCCTGCTCTCGTAACCACTTTTCCATCGAACGCCCATCTCGTAACCACTTTTCCATCGAACCCTCATCTCGCAACCCCCTTTCCATCGAACTTCCATCTCGTAGCTCACATTCCATAAAATATCTAAAAATATCTTGTACCCCTTTATTTATATACTCTTATCTCTTTGGGGTATAGAGAAATTCTCTTTGGGGACTCCTGCATTAAATGCCTCAATTATCAAAACACCAAATCATTAATGAATAAACGAATAGGATGAAAATGGTTAAGAGATGGAGATTGTGTGAACGTCAAGCGAAACCGTGCGTCCTGTCGGTGGAGGAATATGCCATGCTAGAATTGAGACCTAGAACAACCAGCTTATAACGTATATATCCTAGGAATGACAAGACCCTCACTGACCAAATGTAACTTTAAACAAAAAATGAAGTTGTATACTTTTCAGAAAATTCTTTTAAATGTCTGTCAATATGTACATCCTTTGTTTTCTGTTCCACAATTTTAGCGTGCAACAGAACAAAAATAAAATTTAAAAAAAACAAAAACTCATTGATATACACATCACCCTTTGTAAATGATTCTATAGTAATCTTATTGGAATTTTTAATTGTTCGTATTATTCAACAATAAGACTGCAACAGAACACCTTTATTTATAGCCCCTACAGAGCTGATGTGTTGAATGGTTCAAGTAACAAAACAAACGTTCAATACATAGAGATTTCTTAGTATTTATTGGCTTCAAATGTATGACATTTAAAATGAATAAGAAATATTCTCTGGTGTTCAGAATAAAATGGACGTGTCCAGAAATCCTACACATGGTATAACAAAATAAAGTTACACAACGCCTAGTGAAAATGTACTCCGTTCCTCTTCCATCCAGAGAAATTTCACTCTCCAATCACAAGAATCATTTCACGCTCTTTGCCTCACGTGGATTTTACCGCCACACGACCACGGTCATACGTGGCTTAGACAGTTAGTGGGATTCAATGGAAATAAAGGCAAAAAACACTATTGCTCACTCAACATCATCACAGCAGACGCAGCACAAAATCACATGATCTGATCGTGACCCCGACTACCCTACTTCCTCCAAAAAGTATGGCTGACAAGATATTTACTTTGGTGCTGACAAAGACCATATTATAGTTTAATATATACTTTGAAATTCCTAACAAAATCAATTCATTTATTTAACAGGATTCCATCTAATAATTTTGATATTGAACGGGCATCCCGCAGAAAATTAAATAAGTAAAGTACATGTCACGAGACGACAAGGTGACTTAAGGTCACGACCCCCGTGACATCCCACCTCTCACTGTTGTCAGTTTATACTGTTCCCTCAACTGTGATCAATTAATATCCTTCATTAGGTCACAAAAAGATGTGAATTAATCAGATACAAACCTCAGCAAAGTCGGGGGACAAATGAAAACTTACCCCCCCCCCCACCCCCCAACGCAACTCTTTGGTGGTTAAATGCGTCGTCAACAAATAAGCCTAACAATCAACTTCGATAACTCCAGTATAAATCAATTTATTTAGCATTAGGCTAAGTCAAGGTCAAGGTAAATGCGCTACGATGATCTAAGATCCGAAAGCACTCTCAACACCCCACAACAAAGCATTGGTAGATAGCCTGTGGCTTTTGAAGTAATAAATGTAGCTCCTTTTTAAAAAAACAACATATAATTATTCTTCTTACTGATATATAATGTCGTTAAAACTTAAGGTAATTTTTAACAAAAATAGTCGCATTTTCTCAATAAAATAGTCAGATTAGAAGAATAGTTTAAAAATCTTTAACGAACTTTTTTATCCATATTTAAAAAAAAAATTGTTGGTAACTGTAGAACACAAGACTTTTTTTATTTAGTATTTTAAAAATAGCATACATATACGAGTGGCACCTCATATCCCTGTGTTTGGTACAGTAACATGTGACTGTAAAATACAGGAAAATTCAAATGCTTTTTAAGAATCATATATATTTTAAGCACACTTTTAATATTCTCCGAATATTTTACCGTAGAACACATGCCAGTACATGGATTCAGCAACGCTAACTACCCTACCAGAAAAGTTGGAGAATTTGGATAGGTGGCATGGGTGGGGTGGGGGAGATACCTCAAAGACGACCTCGAAGGCAAAACAAGTGAAAATAAAATCTTAGTGATCACCGTAGGATGTATGCACCACTACCATCCAAAATTAACTAAACAAACAACATCCTAAAACACCAAAGACGTGCAATTTGGCCATAGCTAGGGGGTTGGGGGGGGGTTGCGGACTGCACCGGATGTCGCAATCTCTTGAGGTGACACCAACTTGAAAAAATTGTACATTTACAGAGCAAAAATTGCTCGGTTTATCAGAATTTCCTAAAAGGAAACCGATACAAATCTCACGCCATTTTTCATACATGTAACCGATCCAAATGCTTGTTTTATTAAAAGTTACAGGTTGATGCGTCAGAAACGTTCGGAAGTGACGCCCTTTTTGCCTAAAATGCTTCATGTATTACATTTTTCTGTACTCTTGACAGAATATTTTCCTTCTTTGCCGCATTCACTCATTGATAGGATGTTTTAATTTTAATTGAAAACATTGGAATGTTGGTAAAAATACTGTCAAAACACTTTGGAGTGCGCAATCATGCAGCTGCTCAAAGTCAAACACTTCAAATACGTTTGATGAATGTCTGGCGTTGATTGAAGTTCTATGTCATCCTCTGGAAAATTAAGATACAGGAAGTACAGCACAAGGTCTGTGATTTCACGTTTATCTGCTACCTTTTCCTCTGGGCTGATCTACTGGATGAAGTTAATCTTAAACATCAGTGTCTGCAGACTGAAGGTTTTACTCTTGACAAAGTGGTGACCACCTTAGAGGCCTTAAGATTATTTTTGCACGAGAAGCGCTGTCACTTGGTGGGACATGCTATTGAAAAGGCACTTTTAAAATAAAACTATTATGGAATTCCGGTAGAGGGAAGATTAAACTTTAAGATGAGAATGAAAAGAGATCAATTAATTAGTAGATGCTGGACTCTCTCTGAGAGATGCTTGGGTTTATTGATCGCTTTCATTCTGAACTCTTTATCAGATCATCAGACATCAAGAAAGTAGTAGATATGTTTTGGGCTGTTCAACCAAAGAGTCTCTTTTCAGCATTTAAGAAGACTTATTAATCTCTCTCTATAAGTTTTCAGAAGATGACTTTTAAAAGAAAGACCAATTCTTAGAAGACACCTAAAGGGCAGCTGATACAGAAATTCACAAAGTCATGGAGTAGTCAATATTTGCTGTTTTTAAACTCATAGCTGAATGAGACTTCCTAGAATCTCTTCCAATACTTTCCCTAAGCTTTCAAACTGTTTCTTACGTTATGCATGTCTGTGGCTTCATTTGAGCGGAGCTTTTCAAATCTAAGACTTATTAAGTACTATTTACCATCGCCTAAGGGAAAGTCAAGGCTTTCTGATTTGGCCCTAATATCAATGGAAGTGATACAGTGTACGATATTGGTTTCGATCAAGTGATTGACTGATTTGCAGCTCTGAAGCAAGACAAGGAAAATTTTTAATAAATTAAATTTAATGCAAACATAACTATATAGAATAATCTTAAAAACATTTACCTCCTGACCTTCAAATAAGTTGTTGTTTTCCTTATAATTTTTATAATGTTTACTTATTTGAACAAGAAGAAATCCATTTTAAAGTCAGGGGGAAGGGGTAGACACCATAAGTTCACCACACCACCCCCAGCTATGCCACTGCAAGTAGGATTTCGTAATTTAAAAAGCAGCTATCTGCAGCAACAACAAAAAAATGGTTTTCGTATAAGGTGCTAAATGTAAAGATAATGTTAGCTTATAAAAACTATGTAGGTTTCCCCCCAAAATAAATATAGAATAACAAGAGTTTCAAGATGACAGAAAGTACTAGTGTTTCAAGATAACTTGTTCAAAGAGTTCCATTGATTTATTTACGAAACGGTTACAGAGGCTGATGTCAAATTTGTCAAATTTGTTTCTGAATGAACTTCCGACAATAACAACGACGATCACTAGAGTTTTTAACTAGATTTTACCTCTTGCCATATTTTCATTTGTCTATTTAATTATAATTAGAGACTTCCCTTGAAATGTAGCTTGAACAATAACACGTAAAACTCACTTGTGTACCTGCAGGTTTCCTTCCTCAGAACACGATTAGAGAACTCTAGATCAGGGGTGACTCAAGCTATAGCCTGTGTGTTATATCATAACATTGGAGGGGTCCTTTACCCACCCTATCTGGTACCGTACTGCCACCCAGAAGCCGGCTGGTATTCCTCATTGAAATAATAATATATTTTTGTTGATAAAAGTGTTCTTCAACTGAAATTAAGAAAATCAGTTTTCATAATTTTT